AATTTAGGTCACATGCTTCTCTCTACATGGTTATCAGATCCAAACAATTCAATACACTGATTGGCTAAAATCATTAGGATCTACTTCTTGGGGTCACCTTCCCTGGAACTTGTGGACTATATGGGGAAAGGATGGAGACCAGGACAAAATCAGGGTTTAGTTAAGGAAAGAGACACTGGGTGTTTGGCAGGTAACCAATAAAGTCTCCTATGGACTTTACAATCTAGTGGTGAAGCCAATGTTACAGTGTAGTGTGGTAAGGAAAATTGTGGAGGTCTGCACAGGGCACATGTGAGCACAAGGACTCCATTCCAAAAATCAGACCAGGTGTTCAAAGAAAATTTCCTAAAGAAGGTGCATAACCTATACTTATGAAGAATGAACAAGAGTTCACACACTGAAGAAGAGGGAAGGAGCATCCTGGCAGCAGGAATAGCAAGTGAAAAGGCCCAAGAGTCATGCAGCAGAGTGACTCAGTGGAAAGCTGCACATCATTCAGGCTGACCAGCGAGGGACTAAAGATAAGGCTAGAATGAGAGGCCGGGGCATATCATGAAACGTCACATACGTTTTATTCTAGTACGTACCTATAATACCTATTGCTACCTTCTATGTAATGCTAACTAAAATGCCAAACACTATACACAATTTTACATAATGCAGCACTCTAGTGCTATGGTATAAAGCCCACTTGAAAAAACTGAAGATACTGAGACTAAAAGGTTAACTAACTTCTCAGGGTCACATAGACATGGCTCACCACTTTTATACGCAGCCTTTCACCTGGAACTCAAACTCATGGAATTTGTTACTCCAATGACATAGACTGAAAATAAACAAAATTGCGGGAGTAGGTATTTGAGATGCAGTTGGATATATGAAGATACCTTTTAGAATGAAATATCTAAGGAAGCTTGAAGGAAAAGCCTGTATCTCATGTACATCCTTTCATTTTTGACCAAATCTGATGGACCACAGTACACATGTCAGGGACGGAAGACAAGGATCAGGTTCTGGCCAAGGGTTCTTTGATCAAATTTCTTAGCTCATGATCTGTCCCTGCCTCTGCCTAGAATGTCTCTTTCTCCTTTCTTCAATTTTCTGACTTTTGTTCATTCTCCACAAATTTAGTTTTTAAGTATCACCCTTTTTAGGAAACTTTCATTGAACGAACCCCTGTCCGATTTAGAAAGGAACCTTGATGCTCACAGTGTACCTGTGCAGAGCTCTGCAATTGTCCTGATCACATTGCACCACAGCTTTGGCTTTGATTGTTTCTCCATGCCCATATCCCAGACTATAAATTCCATTTAAGATAAGGATATTACCTACTTCTTTTTCCTAAGAAAATTTTGCTTTTGTTCTGATTTCTGTCCCTCCTACATTCAGTCCACATAGCTCAAGGGAGGTCACCTCTTTCCCATTTCAAGGAATGGATCTGATTGTTTAAGCCAGTGGTTCTCAACCACAGGTGAGTTGTCTGGACACATATTTGGTTGTCACATCTGGGATTTACTACTGACATGCAATTGGTAGAGGCTGGAGGTGCTGCTAAACATCCTATAATGAGTAGCCCCCTTCCTCCTCCACATTCTTCCCACCTTATCCCTTAGCCCAGTGGTCAGCAAACTGCGGCCCCTTGAGTGTGGCTCTTCCACAAAATACTACGTGCGGGCGCGCACATACAGTGAGATTGAAACTTCGTGGCCACACTCAAGGGGCCAAAGAGCCGCATGTGGCTCGAGAGCCGCAGTTTGCCGACCACTGCCTTAGCCCCATCCAAGAATTATTCTTCCAGCCCCAAACATCAGTAGTGCTGAGGTTGAGGCTGGTTTTAGTCAGTGTTTCCATGGCTTTGCTTCCTGACTGTTTACGGTTTAGGGAGGAACATACGCCCTAACCCAGGGGTGGGCAACCTTTTTGTGAGTGCGTGCCAAAACCAGCAAAATCTCTGACTCAAAATTCTTCTGCATACCAACCCTAATTTTTTGAGAACATGTTACGCCTACTTGATATCTCTTAAGGTGTACTTATGTGAAGAACCTTGAAGAAATAATAAAATTCATTCGAGCAACAAAAACACAGTATATGATGATGAAAAATACATTTATTTTTTAATGTATACATGTACACTGATAGTCCGACAGAAAACTTTATGACTCCGTTTGATATTATCAGTGGGACTTTTGCTGCTGCATCACTGATGACAGAGATTTTACATCAGGTTTATATTTCGTGACCTTCAGAGATATGCACAAGCTACGAAAGTAGTAATCCGTCAAGCTACTCCTATTATGAGACTTAACAAAATTCATCACTGAGAACAAAGATGCACAAGCGTATGTGGATGAAACCAAAACACTGGTCGGATCTAGGAAGGCAGGGAGAGTTAAGGCAGAGGCATAGAAATTGCTCTTCCCCTCTCTCGTCAATCCATGTCTATGGTCTTTAAGATAACTTGTTATGTAAAATTATTTATTTATCTAAGATGCACCTACACTGAATTTATCTGAAAAATAAAAAAGTCGATATTAAGAAAAAAAATTGTAAATGGAAGATTATAAGAAAGGGTTTCGCATGCCAGCAAAAGTTACTGGCGTGCCATGTTTGGCACGCGTGCCAGGAGTTGCCCACCCCTGCTCTAAGTAATTAGTCAGATTGAAGTGAAGGACGCTATTCCATGATTGGGAAAAAGATGAAAGAGATGGATGATAAAGCTAGAGGGTTAAACTTTTGTCACGTTGTGGTGAGTTCTGGGTGGAAGGCTAAGTATGGTCTTCACCCCGCAATGGAGCAGCAGGTACCACTATTAGAAAGGTGTTTCAGGAGAATGGGTATCCCATACAACCTACAGAGTAGATGGGAGGGGGCAGAGCATGATAGCCTGGAGCACTGTGAGGTAGTTAATGCTGCAGTTCCTGAGTGAGGTGACATGGTGTGAATTCCTTTATGCCTCTAGCAGTTAGCACAGTCTCCTACACATAGAAAGACTCAAGTATGTTTATTGGATAGTCGGATTGTAACTGTTTTTTTGGAACATAGTAGTAAATAGACTATGATTCTGACCCAATATCCTATTTCTTAAAAATCTTTATCAGCACAGCTGGTGTGAATCAGTGGTTGAGTGTTGACCCCATGACCAGGAGGTCATGGTTTGATTCCTGGTCAGGGTACATGCCCAGGTTGCGGGTTTGATCCCCAGAAGGAGTGTGCAGGAGGCAGCGGATAGATAATTCTCTCTCATCACTGATGTTTCTATCTCCCCTTCTCCCTTCTCTCTGAAATCGATAAAAACATATTTTTTAAAATCTATGTCATCTGTATGTCTGTGGTTACAATGAAGAAATATCAGTATATAATAAATCCCAAATTTCCGTTTTGAAAGGACATCTTAGGTAAGTTTTACATAAACACTGAAGTTAGTGTGTGTGTGTGTGTGTGTTTTATTGAAGAAGCAACTTTTGACTGTAACCTCTTGGGATAGATTTTCGGTCCATGTGGCAGTGCCCTCTTGGGTTTCTTTTCAAGCCCAACTGAGGCGAATGACGAAGATCTCAATATTGAGGTGCCCTTGACCCCTTGCTAGGGCTTCAGACTTGGAGAAGCAGCTCAAGGCTTCTGCCCTCTTCCACCACCCTACTTACTACTCTGACCTTCCTTCATCATTTCCCTGGCAGGTGAACTCTGGCCCCGAAGGCATTAGGGAAGTTTAAGTTTTATTTTTTCCCTTTGTTCTCAGCAACTGCTTGTGTGGGGGGTGGGGGAAGGAGTGACTTAGGTTTCAGATTAATTCAGGGAAGCTCCTAGTGGGCCCCTTAAACATAATACCCACTAGCAGACTAGTACGAATTTGCTGCTGCAGTGGCTTTCATAGTGTGAAAGGAGACAGTCCGAATGACAAGCTTATAGAGAATTTACTCTTTACAAAAGAGTGTAAAATATTGCTTTTTAAGATGTGCTATTTCTGTGCCCCCCAAAATACTAAAATCTAAAAAAAAGATATTCTATAAACATGTTTTTGTAAATTCTCTCCCCCACCCCTTTTCTTTTGACTGTTACAACAGAAAACATTGCTTTTAGTGATTAGAAGTAAAATGTGGATGTCAAATTTAGAAGACAGTATGATCCTTTTTGTATTTTTTCTTGGCAAAGCAATTTAATTAGAAAATAATCTTCCTCTTTAACATCTAATACTACAAAATATCCCGTTTTGTTGGCAGTTCATAGCAAAATTTTGAGCTATCATGTTACCATGAAAAGATATTTTAAGTAAGAAAGATGACTTTTTTAAAAATCAAAAATGCAAAGCACTTTTTAAAAAAGCAATCTTCAATTTTAAAAAAGTACTTTTTCAGTGGGGTGGAGAATGGGGAACATGCTAAATCCTTCAGGGAAGAAGGAATTACAAGGGGAGTGTGTCTTGGGCTGATCACACCGGTCTCAGCCCTGGCTGTCTGTGCAGAGTGTGCCCAGTGTATGCATATGTGTGTGCCCCAGTGTGTGCCCGAGTGTGCGCGCGCAGCCACAGGGCCCCTGGGCCCGGCCTTGGGGCTG